GCACGGCGCCGAGGCGCGGGCCATCAGAGACGCGGGCGCAGCGGCGGAAGCGGGGTCCCCAGCGGCATGCCAGTGCCCCCCGGGCGCGATGGCTAGCGGCAGCGCCGGGAGGCCCACCGGCGAGGCCGCGTCTTCGGCTCCCGCGGGTGCCGTCGGCGGGCGGAAGAGGCTGATGTCTGTCTGTGATCACTGCAAGGGCAAGATGCAGCTGGTGGCCGACCTGCTGCTGCTGTCCAGTGAGGCACGGCCAGTGCTCTTCGAGGGTCCCGCCTGCGCGGGCGCCGAGTCTTTCGAACAGTGCCGGGACACCATCATAGCGCGCACCAAGGGGCTCTCCATCCTCACCCACGACGTCCAGAGCCAGCTCAACATGGGTCGCTTCGGAGAGGCGGGGGACAGCCTGGCAGAGCTGGGCGACCTGGTGGTGTCACTGACCGAGTGCTCTGCGCATGCCGCCTACCTGGCGGCAGTAGCTACGCCCGGCGCACAACCCGCACAGCCCGGCCTGGTGGACCGCTATCGAGTGACCCGCTGCCGGCACGAGGTGGAGCAGGGCTGCGCCGTGCTGCGGGCCACCCCGCTGGCTGATATGACCCCGCAGTTGCTGCTGGAGGTGTCGCAGGGTCTGTCGCGCAACCTCAAGTTCCTGACGGACGCTTGCGCCCTGGCCAGTGACAAGTCGCGGGACCGCTTCTCTCGCGAGCAGTTCAAGCTGGGCGTCAAGTGCATGAGCACGTGCGCGTCGGCGCTGCTGGCCTGCGTGCGTGAGGTGAAGGTGGCGCCGAGTGAGCTGGCGCGCAGCCGCTGCGCGCTCTTCAGCGGGCCGTTGGTGCAGGCGGTGGGCGCGCTGGTGGGCTTCGCCACAGAGCCGCAGTTCCTGGGCCGAGCGGCTGCCGTGAGCGCCGAGGGCAAGGCGGTGCAGACCGCCATCCTGGGCGGCGCCATGAGCGTGGTGTCGGCCTGTGTGCTGCTGACCCAGTGCCTCAGGGATCTGGCGCAGCACCCCGACGGGGGCGCCAAGACGTCGGACCACAGGGAGAGGCTGAGGAGCTCGGCCTGCGCCGTGTCTGAAGGCTGCACCCTGCTATCTCAGGCTTTAAGGGAGAGGTCTTCACCCAGGACTTTACCGCCAGTGAATTCCAATTCTGTGAATTAGCACCCCCTCCCCTTATTTCACCCCCAAGCTAAGGGAAGACACTTATTCTCTGCCCCTCTCCATGTATACCAAAGAAATCACAGGTGGACCCCGTCCCACGCCCTATGCTCAGTGCTCCAGAGGAATCTTCGGAAAGGCAGGACCAATGGTGCCTGGCCTGAGCCACCCCGTGTGGCAGAGGAAGGTTGTGGATAATGGTCTCGGTATTACCCCTCACCCCACCCTAGTTCATCTACTAAATTGATAATTAATTGGGCAGGAAGGTGGTCATGGGTTCATTTTTTTTTTTTTAATTGAAAGAAAGGTTACCTCAGTTTTCACACCTTAGACATGGATGTAGCTACCTTTTGTATGTTTTTGTTTTTTTTTTTTTTTTTAATTAGGAGTATACTTGGTGTGGAAAGAGTATGACTTTGCTATGTGGTTTGCAAATGGGGGGAAGCTACTGTGAGCGTGTGTCTTATTTTTAATTTACACTATAGAGTGATTTTCCCCCCCAATGTCAAGTTTTTACCTTGCATGTACTGGAGTATTTATTTCATCTATTAAAACGTTATGTTTCTCAGATGGCCTTTTGCAGTTATTGTTGGCTTTTCAGTAACTTGTTTGTATGGTGCCTGTCACCTCTGGAGAAGAAAAAAGGAAAGGCTACTCCATAGTGGGAGGGTTCCCAGCCCTCACTGCCTTTCTCCTAAGAACTATCCCTTTAAAGAGCCTAGAAATCAAGAAGAGACAAATGTATGTAACATTGTATTTTTTTTTTTTAGAAGGCAGGTGACAGGTCGGTTGTGATGGACAGTTAGTGTGGGTCGTCTCTTGGTGTCTGGGTTCCCTGGGAAGTAATTTAACTGCCTTTGTCTCTTCTCATCTTCTCCCCCTTAATGAACCCTGCATCAGGTCACCGAAGTCTGATTTGTATTCTGCCTGTTTCCAGATGAAAGCATTTCCTAATCCTGTGTGGGACGCTGGCCTTCCCCCAGTTTGGAAGATCTGTTCTCAGGCCTTAAAGGGCTGTGTATCAGTGAGAGGACTGAGCACTGCGTACCAGGACTTCAGGAAAAATGAGGCTCCTAAACTGGTAGAGGAAGGGGTATGCTGGAAAGTTACAAACTTCCTAAGCCACTCCATAGTTGCAGCAAAGTGCTGGCTTTTGTGACCTTGACCTAAGACATTCTGTGGTTGATTGTATGTTGAAAGAATGCTTTGTTGATTGAAATTTGGAGTTAGGTTAAGATAATTTGCCTACTCTGTAGACATTTAAAGGATTTGGGGTGGGGAGTTAGTAAGAGTGGAGTGTAAAATTTTGCTGAACCTGGTTAAATATTGAGCACTTTCATACTTGATTTGCAGTTCTTGAAGTCTGGGAGGGTCACCTGGATTAAAAACATTCATGCTTTAAATGTTTCCAATTTATATTTTTCTTGGGAATTATTGTGCTTAAACCTTGGCCACACCCACAGATTTAAAGCATTTTTCACTCTTAAAACATTAGGGAGAGGAAAGGCCACTCTGTTGAATGGCCATGTTTATTCCAAGGATATGAAATTCAATGAGGACAATATCTTTAACCTGTTTTGGATAAGACCAGGATGATGTCAGTGTTCTCAATCTGTAGTTCGAAAAGGCTGAAAATGTGAGGGCACATACATCTTTTAAAATGGCCAAGGGAGCTGTCATTTTTCTCTCTTAGGTCCTGGCAGGTGAAACCTGTTGTTTTTTTGAGGCAGGGTCTCACTAGGGGTCCCAGGCTGGCCTTGAACTCTTTCCTCTCTCAGCCTCCTGAGCCCTGGGAGGTTTAAGTGCAAGTAGGCCCAGTTTAGATTTAACTTGTTAAAGTAAAAGATGAAAAATGACTGCGAATATTTATCCCCCTCCTCCTTCCATAAGGTAATCTGGATCAGGTTCAGGAAGATTTTGGTGGTGAGGCAGTGGGACGTCCATGCCCATGACAATCCTACATGCATCTAGAAATTCTTTGTTTTTGTCAGTTGGGTTTATATAAGTAGTGATAAACCCTATAATTGTATGGTTCATTGAGTCAGTGCACATCACAGAGAGTAAACTAAAAGGAACAGACTCAAGTGCCAGAAATTTATGAATTTGATATTTGATTAAGAACAAAAGCAGTGCCAATTTTCTTCTTGGCTTCATTCCCTTGCAGAAGTAGCCAAAAAGAAAAAAGCTTACTTGCTCCATCTATGTGGATAACGAACGTTAACTAGCTAGTTAGCATACTAATCTTGAATCTTCTTAGCCAAATGGTAGTCACTCATTTCAGTATGGTACAGATCTGGGTAGGTAATATTAAAAACAATCCCTAGTTTCTCAAATTAGTAAAATTTCAAATTTAATACCAGTCATATTTAATCCTACCCCCCCATCTGAGATCAAGTTCAGGGTTCTTGTCCCTCGGCAGGTGCCTGTGAGGAATTCTGCTTGTAGTTTTTCCTGGCCAGTTTTGTGAAGCCAGAAGGAACGTGCACACATTACTTCTGTGTCTGCATTGCTTGGCTGGGCAAGGGATTTGGACACAGGTCTTTGGCACTTCAACTTTCTTCTAGTATACCAGGTTGCTAAACTTGTTTTTTAAATAGTGGCTAATTTTTTTTTTTTTTTAAAGGAGTATCTCTGACCTATTTCATAATAGGGTCTAATAAGGTCAGCAGAGATTCTGGTTCCAAGAATAAAATCAGGATGGCCTTGTTTCTCTCTCTGTCTGAAAATTAGAGGACAGGAGAGATAATTTAAGACGCCACTCTGGGTTCTTCTGACTTAGTTTCATACACAGGCTCAGTACCTAACAAAAGTCATTGTGTATGATAGTCTACTCAAGTAAATGGGACAGAGCAGGCTTTCAAATATAAGACAACTCCAAAAAAGCACAGCCCTGTCTTTCTCAGACTATGTTAAATTTGGCCTTATTTTTCATTGTAGGGTGATGTTAGGAAATTCAGTAATTGTGTGTGCATGTGTGTTTTCTGCCCCAAACCCTATCATCATCTTAGTTCTGGAAGTATCAGTTAACATCTGATTGGTTATTTTACACTTTCTTTTTGAGCTGGCAGAGGGATCTAAAGTATTTGGCAGTTTGAGACAGCTAATTTTAACAGAAACACCTGTTTTTCCAAATGTGTGTGACTATGGTAACATGCAGATCAGGCAGAGAGTTTGAAAAATGATTGCCTGAGTTTGCGCTGAATGACTAGGAGGGAAGGGAGAAGGACGCAAGGGGACTCCGGGAGACTCCATGGATTCTAGCATGCACACTGGGGTCTGCTCCCTGAGCTGACCTAGGCTGACTGGCCACTACCTGAGGCCTTTACTGGGCTTTGGGAGGGTCACAGATACTCGCGTTCCCTCCAGCAGTCTCTGATTTTCTTGCTTTGTGGGCTTAATGTGTGAAGGCACTCCTGTCTATTCTGCCCAAGTGAATGAAGTTCCACTTTAGGGTTGTTTAGATGGGTAAGTTGTCTGCTTCCCCCACAGTGGTACAAGGTTCAGAATGTTTTTTATTTATTTTTTTGTTTGTTTGTTTTTTGAGACTCGGTCTTCCTATGTAGTTCAGGCTGGTCTTGAACTTGATATATAGTCTAGGCTGGCCTTAAATCCATGGCACCCCTCCTGCCTCAGCCTCCCAAGTGTTGGGATTATAGGCATGTGTCACCATGCCTGGTGCAAGACTCAAAATTAACTGTGCAGACACTTTGAGAGAAAAGTATGAAACTAACATCTGAGTGGGATCCATTTAACTGTAAACTCATGAGCTGTTTTATAGAGGTTATAGAGCCTGATACATGTGTGGACATCTTGTGAAATGAATGTGGGTGTAAGAGGCCTGCAGCAAGTATAAGTAAATAGTTAAAACTGTTCCCAGAAGTGAAAGTTATAGCGCTCATTCATTTGGCAAATATTCATTGGGAGCCAAGTGTGGTAGGCACTGAGGTACGTCTGTGACTGAGGTGAGGCCACTCCTTGGCTGGGGATGTCACTCAGCTGCACAAGTGCCTGCTTGGTAAAGTGCAAGGTCCTGAGTTTCAGTTCTGGTACCAAACAATAAATAAATAAATAAAAAGTTGAGCCACCCCTTGAGAAAGTTGCTGTCTAAATTCGATACTGCTGGAAGTTGAGTACACGGGGACCATCCTGGCTCTGTCTGTTCAGCCCAGAGCACTGGGGCTAAGCCACCTGTGTTTTGCCCAACCCTCAGGAGAACCTGTGGAATCTGTTGGCTTCTTTTCATCCCTCTGAACTCTGAATCTAGAGCATAGAACTTCTGTATCAGGAGGCAGCGGCATTCTTCACATGCGCCATCTGCTCAGTTCTTGA